CCATGGTTTTGCTACAGGAAGAAACAGAGGTTGAAACAGTACTCTGAGGTCATTCCAAATTATTGTCTGTGTTGTTCTTGTGGGTGTGCGTGCATGTGTGTCTCTGTGTGTCTGTGTGTGTGTATGTGTGCACCATCTCAGAAGGTAGGAGTCGCCTGTGTTATTCTTGACATTAATTTTCTGAGGTATCCCAAGGAGATTTTAAATAACTTACTTGGTTGGAAAATAGAGCTGTTTATTTGGGTGCTCTGGCTGGCATGCCAGTTAAATAATTTCTGTGTTGTTAAGTACTTCTTAGAGGTGGTTCTAGAAAGATAGAGCTTCACATTCCTTTATTTCTTAGAGATCCAGAAATTCAGATTCCCTGGGGATGGAACCTATTTAGCTTCAGGGCTTTTTAATAATCAAATTTATTTATTTTAATGGCAGCCCACTCTAGTATTCTTGCCTGGAAAATTCTATGGACTGAGGAGCCTGGTTTGTTACAGTACATGGGGTCACAAAGAGCTGAACATGTCTGAACAACTAACACTTTCACACTTTACTTATTTATTTTTAATTGAAGGATAATTGCTTTACAATATTGTTTTGATTTTAGGTTTTGAAAGGATTTGAGTTGTTAGCTCCCTAATGGAAGAGTTTAAAACTTTTAGTGCTCTTTCTACATGTAAAAGATAGTATTTTGTCCTGATTGTCACATCTCCTGGAGTTCTCTCTGTGATTTCAAAAATTCATAAAGTGAATTTTTTGAGTGTCTGTATATGCTGGCAGTGCTCAGCACCTCCCTTTAGTGATCTCAGTTTTCTGATTTACAGAGACTGTATTCTGAAGCAGTTGATTTTGCTGAAACTAGTGATAAACTAAAGAGACCGAAACATTGTTTTTCTCTCCAGTTACTCTCCTCTTACAGACTATTCCATTGAGTTAATGTTGGACACAGGTGGTTCCTTTTAAACCTGAATCAATATGTTCTAGAAGTTGTGCTAGTAACATCTGCAATCTGTATAGCAGAATGCTTAAAGTAAAGGCTATTTCTTTAAAATGAGGAAGGAATAGTTTTGGAGGCTGGGCACCATTTTTTCTTAACTCTGATGAACATCAGAAGGGGTCTTCGAGACTGGGAATGAGCCCGCTGAGCTGGAAGGCAGGCTGTCTGTCAGCGCAAGGCAGAGGAAGGAAGGACATAGCTTATGTGCTTCTTTGTCCTCTTCTTGATCTACACTCCCTCCCAAAGTGATTTTGTCCTATCCCAATGGCTTGCTGCATTTTTCAGAGCTTGTTCAGGGAGATAGAAACCACTCTAGGGAATTCCTTGGAGGCTCAGTGGTTAGGACTCTCTGCTTCCAGTGCAGCAGGTCTTGGGTTGGAGTCTAAGTTGGGGAACTAAGATCCTGTATGCCTTGCAGAGTGGTCAAAAAAAAAAAAAAAGTATTATAAACAGTAATGACTTGAATTCAGAGAATTAGAGGCAAGCAAAACCGTTGGAAGGGCTGTGGAGCTAAGATCAGGGAAACTCCCAGTGCTGATCTCAGCTGCTGGCAGCGCTGGAGTGGGTCATTCTGGAAAGTTTCCCCAGAAGTCACTGTGAACTTCACGTCTCCAGGAGCAGGTGATTCTCCAGAGCTCGCCTGGAAACCCCCGCCATATATGCTGACATGTCTGCCTGGAAATCTTTCTGGAAAACTCTGGCTTCCAAACCTTGTGCAAGGGCCTCTGAGAGGAGACCCTAAGCCACAACCACAGAGGGGAAGACTTCTAAGAAATGTGTTTCCGGGCTCTCCCCTGCCCTGTGATACAGAGGAGAGTGTAGCAGGAGGTGGTGCTGATGCTGAGTTATCAGCTGACAACCAAGGACATTGCCTGTATCCATTTTAAAGACCATTATTTTCAGTCCATATCACGTGAAATACAGTTACTATATGAGAATGTGCAAGTCCAAGGCTCCATGATGATCACAAATGTGAATGAATTTGGTAGCCTTTATCCTCTTAAAAGTTGTTGTTTTAGCAAAAAAGTAGGAAAATAAAAAAGAAGAAATTAGAAAACCAATGATAGCCTCACTTTGATCTTTGTCTCTGTCCCCAAAGTGAACAACCTCACTAACCAGCGACAGTGATTTTTAAAACTTTCATATGAATCATTACAATTTGGGCTTTCCGGGTGTCTCAGTTGGTAAAGAATCTGCCTGCCAATACAGGAGACCTAGGTTAGATCCCTGGGTTGGGAAGATTCCCTGGAGAAGGAAATGGCAACCCACTCCAGTATTCTTGCCTGGATAAGCCTACAGACAGAGGAGCCTGGTGGGCTACAGTCCAAGGGCTCACAAAAGAGTTGGACATGGCTTAGTGGCTAAACCACCACCTCCCTGAATCTTTACTAAATCTGAATGAAATTCAAATATTGGCTAAGAGTTTATCTATTCTACCATAAAGAGAAGCTCCTAAATCAACAGTTCTCAAATGTTTGATACAGTGAAATACTTCTGGAATATTAACACAATGAAGAAAAACACCTTTTCTTTTACAAGTAAAAGAGGATGATCAGGAAAATAGAAATAATTCTTGTAAAGTAGAAAATCTTCTCCTAGCTCTTCCCCTCCAGCTGTTTCTTTTTTTTTAAATCCCTGTTTCATCATGTGCTTTTTCTCTAATTCCTCTTTCTCTCCTCACACCAGTTGTACCATTAGCTCTTCCTTCTCTTTGTTTTTCCAAGGAGACTTGGTCATGGCCAGGGATGGTCATCCCCCACCTCAGGAACACTGACTGTGCTAATATAAATCATTTGTGGAGAACATACGATAGCCGACAGCCCAGGCCAGCAGGTCTTGGAATGTGTTCTCCTGCCAAAGCCCCTCCTCCCTCCCACAGACATTTTCATCACTGGATTTCAAAGACAGATAATGCATGAGAAGAAGTAACAGCCGTTTTTCTTCCCCCAGCATACCTTCCTCCCACCAAAACTCACCCTGATACCCAATGGGAAAGAAATGAGACAATTAGATTTTTTTTTCCTTAGAAAATTTGCAAGACGAAGCCCCAGAGACAGAGCATGCCAGATGTTGTGGAGAGCATGGCTGCTGGGTCCCTTCGGCCACACATGCTGAAGTCATGAAGTCAGGAAACCTGACTCAGTAGTCACTGTTCCAGTGTGGGGGCTGACAAAGCACCGCACGGTCTGGGACGACTGGAAACCGAGCCCATCCCCGGAGCCCAGTCCTCTTCTGAGTGTGTTCTTGGGCTGGGGTCAGTGGGAGGGAGCCTGGAGGCTGTGGACTACTTCAGCACTTTCTGGGAAACTGTGAAAGGTCAGTATAAACTGGGGGCTTGGTGTCCCTGCAGTTGCAAGGGGAGTCCCGTCCACACTGTTGATGGATGCTGAGTGCCTGGAGTCTAACCGTGGGTCCTGGTACAGGGTCTTGGATGCATACTCCCACAGTGAATGAGATGAGATGTCCAATAGGTTTACATGAGAGAAAGTAGGAAAGCACATGCTTGTGTGTTTTTCTATTCCAGGTTTGCCTTTATTAAAATTACAGTGAGACAGTCCTACAAAAAATGAACACAAACACAAGAGTGAACCAACTCTTAAAATACAGGCTCTAGGCTCAACCTGCTGCTGCTTGAGCCCAGATACAATCAACTCCCCCTCTGCCATATGCTGTTGTTGCAGGTCGAGGTGGCATATTTATACCAGACTTCTATGGATTCAGAAGACTTCAGTGCTATGCTTATTTGCTCCAGACTTGACACAGCCTGGCAAAGCAAATAAGATCCTCCTTTTTGGCCCTGCTGATCAGCTCTGGGAACAGCCCAGCTGTCTCTGATTCCCTGGAAACCAGAGCNCCTCCTTTTTGGCCCTGCTGATCAGCTCTGGGAACAGCCCAGCTGTCTCTGATTCCCTGGAAACCAGAGCATCCTCCTGGGCTCACATCTAGAAACATTCCCCAGATATGGAGTTGTACGATCAACATGGACCCATGCTCTGGTTCTTAAATTAGTTCAGAACATTCACCAGGGAGACTTGTTATAGATATGGATTCCAGGCTGCCAGCCCCAAAGATTTGAGTGGACTGCTACAGACCAAGGCTCTTTCCTAAGTTCCCAGGTGGGTCTGATGGACTTGCTGAGCATCGGTGATCTGTCTGGGACAGCTGCATTAGAAACTTTTTCTTATAGCGATGCCTCCAAGTGCCTCCCTAGTCCCCCCACCCTCCCCCATCCAGACAGGTGCAGACATTTGCTGTTTGCTATTCATCAGAGCATTTTACAACTAGCTTTCTGCAGAACAATAAAAAACAAAAGAGTTCAACTTAAACATAGCCAAATGACTTTTCACAGAGCAGTAAAGTGATTTCCTCCCCGGCTCTGCTGTGAAGCAGATCTGAGCAGCTCTGTCCATGCCGGACATTTTTGCAAGTTGACCCTGGGCCCACTTCAGAATTTCCCTGCAAGGGACCTGGACTGCTGGGTCCAAGGTCCATCACTGTGGTTAATTTCAGGCCTGCATCCCCAGGGGTGGTTGGGAACTGTCTGAGGCCTCAGACCAGCTGGGTAAAAGAGCCCCATGCCCACGCTGCCTAGTGGCCTTCAGAGCGCTGCAAAGTGGGTGGTCTGTGAGCTGGCAGAACTCAAGGCTGCAGGAGTTCACAGCCCCCTCTGGGGGACATGACGAATGACCGCGCTGACAAATCCTGGTCTGCTTTCCATCTCGGAGCCGTGCACGGTTTCGCTTTCAAAGCAGGAAAACAAACCACGGGAAGCAGACACAACACTCACAGGCCACAAATGATACAGCCATTTTCTCCTCTCAAGTCAGGGACCTGCAAAAGGGAAAGAAAAACGGCTCTGTTAGAATTCCTTGATGAAGAGTGGATACAGAAAACGCCCCCAGGGCTTCACCTGAAGTCCCACCCTGCACCCTCTCTTGTCACCCCTCCTCTGACCAGCTTGAGATTCAGTCCTCTCTGGTGCTCAGACCCATCTGATACTGGTCTTTTCCAGGGCTTCCCAGTTTGCACCAGCCCTGATGATCCCCAGGCCACTGAGGAAGGGCCACACAGTACACCAGCCAGTCAATGTCTGCCAGATATGTTTCTCGAGTGCCACTAAAACCTCTTCTGAAGAAAAGACTCTGCAGGTAAAGGACAGTCACAATATTCTAATCTACTCTGACCTCTCCTCCACTTTAAGGATGAGTCCAGTGAAGAAAGGAGGAGAAAAGAACAGTGTCACGAGAAGTGGGTTGATTTCTGTGACCCGCTTCTCTCTGATGTTGCCTTGTCCCCATTCCCCTCTTTCAGCCTCTGTTCCTTCCTTTAGGATGTGCGTGGTAATTTAAGGTTGAATTATCAAGAACCAGAAAGAACCACTAGAGAACTTTGTTTCTGTAGACTGTGAATGAAAACCATGTTAGCTAGCCAATATAACAAGTGATTCCCGTGCTTCAGCCTCTCCCAGTTGGCAGACGGATCTCTGGGATGCCTGGATCCTGTCTGCCACACGAGATCATGTCATGAAGCCTGTCTTCTCTGTGTTCTCACGGCAACATAGGAAATGAGGCAGACAATTGGGGTGGTCCCCTCCCATGGCTGCATGTATATAAAGTGGCTTTGTCCCCCTAGCCATAGCTAGCTAAGCCAATCTGGACCAGTGAATTCCTTCTCTTCATTGTGTAGTGGTTAGCAGCAGGGATATGCTTATGCAAGAGGTGCTATAAAAAGTAGGGCCATAAGTGTTGTGGGTAGACAGGACACTATGAGCAAAGTTGCTGCTGCTGCTGCTAAGTCTCTTCAGTCGTGTCTGACTCTGTGCGACCCCATAGACGGCAGTCCACCAAGCTCCTCCATCCCTGGGATTCTCCAGGCAAGAAGTAGGGAGGATCAAATGAATAGAGTTCAGAGTAGGCTGTAGGGAGCACTGGGAAAGAAGGGTAAAGTCCCTGTTATATCAGGTTAAAGTACTTGGAATACTTTCTTAGGCAGTTGGCAGACATTAGAAGGTACGTTAAATAAGGAAGTGAAATGATCAAATCTAAGTGTAACAAAGTTAACTCCAGTGGCTCAGTGGAACCTGGGTAGGGAGTGAAGAGGTGGTTAGGAAAATCTATCTTAAATGGTTTATTTGTTCAGTTGTTCAGGAAAAAAGGCTATAGTGCTCATTGGGTGTCAAAGGAGAGTAGATAAGAGCTTTAACTGTGGTAATCCCTGTGAAAAAAAAGGAGAAGGGGATTCACAACCTAGGTCCAACAAGGCTTGACAACTGATTTGCTGTGGACATGAAGGAGGAGCAGGACTCAAGGGTAACCGAGGCCACAAAGGGACTGTGCATGCATGTGTGCTAAGTTGCTTCAGTTGTGTCCGACTCTTTGTGATCCTATGGACTATAGCCCATCAGGCTCCTCTGTCCATAGAATTGTCCAGGCAAGAATACTGGAGTGGGTTGCCATGCCCTCATCCAGGCAGTCTTCCCAACTCAGGGATTGAACCCACATCTCTTACGTCTCCTACATTGGCAGGTGCGTTCTTTACCACTAGTGGGAAGCCCACAAAGGGACTGACAGGCCACTATTCTGAAAGGGACATGTAGGAGGAGGGGCTCTTTGGGATGGAGTAGGGGGAGTGATCAGGATATATATCGAAATCTGTTTCCTCCCTGACTGATGAGGCTATCCTAACATTAGAGAACTTTCCAGAGGTTTGGAATCAATCCACGCCACCTACAAAACTAATGTGAAAACAAAGGAGTATATTTCATGATGATATGAAACAATCAGAATGTGCTAACAGGGAGGTCACGAAGGAAATGAATTATTAGGAAAGAGTGTGAGTCCAATACTAATATGAAAGCCCTTTTCAGGAGCAGTGGGCCTCTTAGAGATTCGTAGCAGGGCTAGGATACAGTCACCTTCAATGAGTGTGGGCTTCTTTGGAGAACTGAGATAAACATTTGGGCCCATGGCTGGACTTCTTTGGAGAAAGGATCTCAGGGGATGAGTAGAGCAGAAAATTTTATCTTCTGCCAGTTTTCTCTCCTTCTTGCGGGATCCCAGTGTTCTAGAACATTCCTCAGATGTGGTCTCCCACCACCTTCTTCTGAAATTCACACTTCACTCTCTCTCTTTAATGCATACCACATGCACCTGTGTTTTGAAATATGGATAACTCTGACTTACTAGGGTATTTTTTCTGTTATCACCTGCTTCCCTGTAGAAATGTTAGAAAGACGGAGTGGGGGAAATCATAGAAAAAGCCTGGCTTTGGTGCCAGAAAAACCTGTTGTCAGATTCTACCTGATGTGACCTTGAGCAAGACACTGAGCTTCTCTGGGCCTCCATTTCTTTAAAACTTCATTAGACTATTTCAGTATTTGTGGTGATGTCTAAAAAATATTCAGTACTTAGTAAGCATTTGGTAACTATAAGAATGACTGTGACTCTACACTCTTGTTTCACTGTTCAATATTGTAAATGGTCCCAGCTTATCTGCCAACAGGTAAAATTCTCTAGAAACAAAACTTTAGCAAATATCAGTGTGGAATTTATTCATGTTTTATTTAATTACTTAGGGCATTTAATGAAAGAATGAATTATTAAGTGAGAACATTGATTGTTCCCTGTGTATGGCAAGAAGATCTCCTGCGTGTGCTTAAAATAACTCCATAAAATGTAGATCAAGCCGTAGTAAATTAAAGGAAGGGAGAAATGGCACGAAGATGAAAAACACAATTGAGTCTGCAAGTTTGCACAAAATGGTAGCCACACCCCAATGATCCCACATCCCTCCCACTCAGAATTCTGGCTCTCTGGAGTGCTGGTGGGTGCTGGGTTCATGAGCCAGAGTGAGACAAGCTCTCTCTGGTATCTGTGTTCCTCCAGACCCTCTACCCTTCTTTGCCTTACTCTGGGCCCTGGAAGCCTTGCTGTCTGGATTTTCATTGGGTCTGTCCAATGGGAAACCCTTGTAGGATGTGGGAATGAGGGAGAAGAGAGATCTGAGGTATTTATCGCCCTGATTCTCTCTACTGAGTCTCTCTCTGACATTCTCTAGGTTCTAGAAGTTGAGTTTCAGGTTCCCTCTCCCTACCTCTATGGGCCTAGAGGTGGTGACAGCTCCCGTGTCTTTAGACCCAGGGGACTGGACCATCTCTCATGTGGTATACTCTGCCTACACTTTGCAAATAGTCCTTTCATTAAACCTTTCTAGAATTCTTTGGATTTGAGTGTGCCATCTGTTTCTTGCTGGGCAGTTAGCAGTTGATACCAGCCACATCACACTGGTACAGAAAGCTGAGAAGACTGGAGGAAAGGAAGCAAAATGAGAAAACAGAAGATTAGAAAGAAGGGAGGCTATGACAGCCATGGAAAGTATCACTGGAGGACAGAGGGATAGAGAAGGCAGGAAATAAACTAGGATCACACCAATGGAGCTGAAAAGTGGTGTGTGGGGCAAAGACACACAACACCAGCCTAGAGTCTAGGACTACCCCTCACACTTGGCCTCACCAGCCCTTGAGAACCTCTCGGGTGTCAAAATAAAGCCAGTCAGAGTGGTCCACACATGGGCTGGAGTGCTTAGTGTAAGAGTAAATTGAGTTACACATAAGGCGGTAACCTCTGAGTTACTTCACTGTGTGAAGACATAGTCTAGTAGCTGATAGTTAAAATGTATGTAATCTAGCATCTTGAGATAAATCTGCATTATATTCCATACATTCCACAAGGGAAAACCATATTTATTGAGGGTCTAGTTCTTGCCAAAGCAGGTCTTTTGAAAAGCTCATAGCAGCTGAAAGGAGAATAGTGTTACCCTCATTTCATAGGTAAGGAAGAACCTTCAGGGAAACCAGCTAACTGGCCTGAGCTACACAGCTTGTATGTTTCAGATGTGGGAGCTGACCAGTCTTTCTGATTTCATTGAGGAATCACACTCTCTCAAAAACAATGAATCCTTATCCAGAGGGATCCATGAACATTCTGAAATCCATGAACATTTGAGGCATGACTATACATTGCTCTGGTTTGCTTTCAGTTTCCAGAAGCAATTTCTTGATTCATTTTCCTTTCTAATGTTCCCCTCCTTGTGAGAAATAGACTTGTGTGTGTTAGCCAGAGATGGCGTGTGAACTGGGACTGGGGAGTGGTAATGATGTGGTGGCTCAGATGGCTAAGAATCTGCTTGCAATGCGGCAGACCCAGGTTCGACCCCTGGGTTGGGACGATGCCCGGGAGAAGGGAATGGCTACCCACTCCAGTGTTCTTACGTGGAGAGCTCCTTGGACAGAGGAGTCTGGCATGCTACAAGTCCATGGGGTCACAAAGAGTTGGACATGACTAGGTGACTGACATACTCCTACTGCTGAATGGTATGACGTGCTGTGCTCATGTTACATTTCCAGGAAAACCGAGGCTGCTCGGTGAGTTCCCAACTCCACGTACTGGGGCAGGGTGACTCACGCTGTAACGCTGACAGCAGGTTGTCACTAAGGGTATAATGATAACCCCTTGTGGAAGGTTTGTTTTGTTTTTTAATAATTTTTCTTAAAACAGGAAAGAGCTAATAAATATAAAATCTAGTTGATTCCACAACTGTGTAGTGAGTGACTGTTATATGTAGGACCCTGGGTTTAGAAGCTCCACTTCTTTAAGGCTTATTTAAATGTCAATTTTTATTAGAATTAATCAAACAAAGCACTACCAGGATCTTGGCCACCCTGCTTCCCTGGTGGCTCAGATGGTAAAGAATTTGTCAGTAGGGGAGGAGACCCAGGTTCGATCCCTGGGTCGGGACGATACCCTGGTCAGGATTCCCTTCCTGGAGAAGGAAATGGCAGCCCACTCCAGTATTCTTGCCTGGAAAATCCCATGGATGGAGGAGCCTGGCAGCCTGAGCGATTAACACTTTCAACTTTTACCTTTCAGAGGGGTTAACACCCAAATGCCTCTTAGGGGCAGCTGCATGTGCCCGTGGGACTGCAGCCTGTTCTCCTATGTTTATTCTTTCTATTTCCCTTTCAGAGCAAAGAGGAAAAGAGGCACAGGAATTCCCAGGCAAGAAATACAGATAGTAAAAGCTGTTGCATGGAGCTCCTGGAAGGCTGGTGAGCAGGTGGGTAAGGATGTCAGGGTGAAGATATGGCGGGTGAAAGAGACTAAGGTTAAAGTAACCATGATTGCGTTTGAAGCCACATCAGCTCTTCCTGATTTCCTGTTGCAGACAGTAATTTTTTAAACATTTTAAAAGACATAAAGACATTTTAAAAGACATTAAAAAATATAAAAAGACAAGAAATTTTTAAACATATCTTATGTCCTTTTCATAAGAAAAATACCATAGGTTTCCCTAGTGACTTCTATGACAGATTCTGAAAAGCATACAGTGGAGGCAACGTTTGCATGAGGTGCATGAAGAGGTTAATGAAAGAGAGTATCAGAATCCTATTAAATATGCCCCAGATACTCATATTCATGGATTTCTGATGCGAGTCTCCGGCCTGCACTGGTTTGGCACTGGGAGTGCATCAATAAGAAAGACATTGCACAACTGATACATTTAATAAATGTGATGATGAAGGAAAAGACTTGAATAGATCCTCTTCTGCAGGCAGTTAGGAAACTCAGAGCAGACACAAGACAAGTTAGTATGTCTTGGCCAAAAAGGAAGATGGAAAGAGAGAATGATTATAAAAACACCTACCCATCCTTTCAGTGGCCATTACTTAGCTATGGAAAAGGCAACTTACAACAAACCAGAGACTCTAAGAACCAACGCTGTAGGGAGATAGCTCTTGGGTCAGAAAAAATCCTCACTAATCCCTCCTTTGCAAAACATCAACGAGTACATCTAATACTAGCAAAAGCTGAGCTTTCAATAAATCAGAAAACAATGGAGGCATTGTCTGAACTTGCCAAATAGTCCTTTGCTCCCACCACACTGAACACTCCAAGCTGTGTGCAGCCAAAACTCAGCCCAATCTTATCGAACTGAACTGATTTATGAGAGGAAAAACCTAAAAAGGGAAGCAGAGAAATAATGATATTAATTCTAATAATGCATTGACTAGTGCGCATATAAATCATTCTCCCCACTCAGATTGATTTCATACAAATAAGAACTCTATGCATAAACTCGTCTCCAGCCGCCCAGGCAGCCACCCAGAGCCTGCTCTTGCAGATAGAGCTCAAGAAAAAGGGTGGGGGGTCTGCTGGAAGTTCACAGAAGTCTTGCCTGAGAAAAGCCTGTGGGATCAGCCCCAGAGGTACGATGTAATTGGCCACACACACAAATGTTGCCGCATCCGAACATTTTTGGCAACTCATGAAAGCCTCGTTCCTAGAGGCCACTTGAGTGTCCAAATAAAAGGGGATTTTTGTTAGTGAAAACTGGAAAGAATAACCCATCCTAGGATCAGGCTAATAGGGCCTGGCCTGTTAAAATGTAACACTGGGCCGGCCAGAGTTTGAAGTGTTGCTGGCAAGGATTTGGAGCAGCCGTGAGGAGAGCCAAGCCTCTCTCACAAGGAAAACTCTGCTGGTGAGGGGAGCTTTCCACAGCCCAAAGAGCCTGTATGGCCCACCTTGAGAGGAGAGCTTCTTCTGGGACAGGGATCTTCCCATACCGGGCTGAAGGGGGAGAGCTTGGGGTTGCTTCTGTTTCCCTCAGCACCTCGGGCTCCACTCCCCTGTTCCCTACTCCACCCACCAGGCTGTGCTTCGAGGCAAGTGAGACTTAGTGGCTGACCTCCGGGGCCGCTTCCGCACATGGCCTGGGAACAGCAATTGCTCTCTGTGTGTCTGCAGGGTGTTGACAGCCCTGGGCTGAGGGAGCTGGGGGAGGGAAGCAGAAACAGTGATGCTGTAGAAATCAGGCCACAGAGGCCTTCTCTTATCACCAAAGGGCCCCCAGCTGAAGAAAGTTCTACTGCTGCCTGCTTCACAAAGGAAATGCCTTATCCTACTGCAGGCCAATCTTGGCCTGTTTGAGTAGCAGAGGCCCCTAGGTTCTGCATCTAGGATTGCCAGATAAAATACAGGATGCCTGCTTAAATTTGAACTTCAGATGAACAACAAATGGTATTTAAATATAAGTGTGTCCCAGGTGTTGTATGAGAAAATACTATTTTCATTTGTTGTGTTAGGTAGAATTCTTAGACACCACCGATGACCCTGACTCTTGATTAATCTTCTCTGAAGTGTGGGTAACACTGGTAACTAAATAAACCATCACTGCTGTGATTATCTTACATTACATAACAAAAGGGATTTTATGTTTGCAATATGCTATTAAGGTAACTAGTAAGTCATGTTTGAGTTAATCAAAATGGATTAACTATTCCTATCCATATGAACCCTTTATATCTGGATCTAGAGGGCAGAGACAGACAGTGTCCAAGAGTCAAAGCAGTAGAGAATTCTCTGCTGGCCTTGAAGGACAACACTCTTGTGTTGCAGAGAAGCCTCACAGCCAGGCACAATAGCCAGCCTCTATTACCTGAAAACCGGAGAAGGCAATGGCACCCCACTCCAGTACTCTTGCCTGGAAAATCCCATGGACAGAGGAGCCTCATAGGCTGCAGTCCAGGTAATCGCTAAGAGTCAGACACGACCGAGCGACTTCACTTTCACTTTTCACTTTCATGCATTGGAGAAGGAAATGGCAACCCACTCCAGTATTCTTGCCTGGAGAATCCAAGGCTACAGAGGAGCCTGGTGGGCTGCCATCTATGGGGTCGCACAGAGTCGGACACAACTGAGGTGACTTAGCAGAAGCAGCAGAACCTGAAAATAGCCCCCAGTTAACAGTCAACAAGAAAACAGGGACCTCAGTCCTTTACTGCCATGAACTGGATTCTGACACCCTGAAAGAGCTTGAAGGAGGATCTCAGGCCTCAGGAGAGATGGCAATCTGGCTGGCCCTGATTTCTGCTATGGGAGACCCTGAGCAGAAACCCATCCATGTTATGCCAGACTCTGGACCCCTGCAAACTGAAGGAGGAAAATCCTTTTGTTTTCAGCAGCTAGGTTTGTGATAATATGTTAGGCAGTAATAGGAAATAAATATTTTTGCTGTATCTTAGAGCTCTATCTGTATCCTATGGTCTCTAAGGCATACTTGTAGGGGGTTCCTGGTGTAGACAATAAGAATAGAAGATGTATGAAGGGGCAAGGCAGACCTGGATAAACTGGGCATCCACTTGTTAGCAACCTCAGTAGAACAAGAGCAAAAGCAGGAAGATAAACCATAGTATTGTCTGCTCTGGTGCTCATGTCCTAGCAGGCAGGGGTGGTCTGGCCTCCTGGACCTCACAGCCCCCAAGTCTCAGTTTAGACCTGTAAATACACACACACACACACACACACAGACACACATATGCACCCTTATATATACCTTGTCTCCCAGGGAGCAATGTGGGAATGTGCAAGACAATCTGTCCCTTGTCTCAGAGACAGATACAGTTAATACATCTGCGTATAAAAGTGCGGTGTCAGCCAGAGCCCATTACTGATCCAAAGCTATAGAAACACATGTGTTCTGTGTAAGGATAAAGTGTGTGTGTGTTGGAGGGTGGGTGTGAATATAAACAAAGAAAGCAAGGGCTGTTCTAGTCTAGAACTTCCTTGGGCATCAGTTCAGCTTCCATTCAGATCATGTAAACAAGTCTTCAGAGACTAAAAGAAACTTGGATATCATTTTTAAAAGGCTCAGAGGCTTGGTTTTGTGTTTCATTTATCCAAATGTTCTTTTGCTTATGGATTCCCCTAAATTTTCTTTCCAACCTCTTCTCAGCCCCTCTGGCCTCACACTACCCTTGAAAGTGGCCAGGAGGAAACTCTTAGGTGTCAGCCAGTCGGCAAGGAGAGTTTCTCTTTCATCCCCTGAGTGTCTGGAGATGTGAGTTTAATGAGAGTCATCGACCTTTGAATTATACAAATGGACCTTTTTAGCAATCACTTCCCTCCCCAGTCCATACCCACCCTCAGCTTTTAATCTTCTCAATTATATTTCCTTTTCATTGATTACTACTTTGCTAACTTTCAGATTGAGCAGGCAGTAAAACCTTAGCCACACAGGTAATGCAATTGCTTTTTGAGCCTGACGCCTACATCTCACCTCCTGAGGGGGCTTTCAGGCCCCACTCCCACCCTACTGGATCTTGGCAAGTCTATCGGCCTTCAATTGATTTTGCAAAATGGCCCCTTGCAACCAAAGACCTGTGCAATCCTAGTTAGGAAGACAGAATTACCGTTTTGAGCTTTGGTAGCAAAGATTGGTAAGGCGGGGGTGAGAGGGGGCATGTTGCATGCTGCTGTAGGGAGTATGGGAAGGGGCCTCACAGAGGCTGGCTGTTCCCAGCTCTGCCTGGGAGTAGCAGGTGATAGGCTTGGGAGCGGGGAGTTCCGGGTTCTGTTCCCACCTCTGCTCTGACTTTCTGAGCGACCTTCGTTGAACTGCTTAAGTTTCTGTGCTTTCCTCTCTATGCCATCTGGAAGGGGGAGACAATGACACTTGTCTGTGAAAATGCTTTGAGGGATCCTGGCATAAAAGATCCAATGTAAAAGCAAGTGATGGGCAATGCTTCCCATAAAGAGCCCCTTGTGTGCATCTGCAAGAGGCCCCACTTGAGGGCAAAGAAGAAAACTGGAGAAATTTCCTTGATATCAAGGCCAAGCGGAGGACGGACGTTCCTTGGGATGAGTTAGAAATCCCTGCTGTAGCTGGGGGCTCCAGAGCTATAGCCGGGATATGAGCTCGGCGAGGTGCATGCTGGGACCTGGCCAGCAGAACAAACAGATCTGAGGTCTCTGCACCAAGCAGGACCCTGTGCCATATCAGGATTAGCCAGGGGACCTGACCAACAGCAAGGGACCGGCGGGGGTGGACCTGCCTCCCATGATTTACAGGCACTGATGCAGGGACCCGGCGGGGGAGGGGATAAAGAACTTTGGGGACATTTTCAAAACTGGAGGTCGTTCAGAGGAAATTACTCAATAAAAACCAGGTTTCTCTAACTGAATAGATCAATTTACAGCTCATAAGGTGGAAAAAGTCTGAGACTTCAAGATTCTGGTTGGGCGGGTCTCCTAAGGTTTCCTCCCTTGGCAGAGCGGCTGTGGCTTTGGCTCTCTCAGGCCAGGCACCCCTTCTGTAGCTTTCAGGGCCAGCATTTTTTCTCTCGTCTTGTTTCTCTCTTTCTCTGCTACTTAAATTTTTCTGGTTAAGATTCCTCCTCTCTTCTCTTACAAGCCTCCAACTTTCGCCTCCCTACAGTCCTATTAGAGAAGCCCCTATTGTTTTTGTTTTCCTGATGATACAGTTCTTTTTTCATGGTTCGCCCCTCTTAGCTGCCTCCCCCTCCCTGTGGGTAGTCTCAGAGCCTCTCTTCCCTCTGTTTTCCCTTCAGGTCCCTAAAGCTTCTGCCTTTCTCCTCTAGCTGCCCATGGTCTGTTTTTCTGTGCACCTCTCAACCTCTCTATTTCTCCCTCTCTGACTTTTATCTTCCTAGCCCCTCTCTTTGGTTGCTCTCTTGGCCTTTCTTTGTTGCTACTGCAGTAATTCATGATGAGCATCCAGTAACACCATCACCTATTGACTGGACTTCTTTAAGTTAGCACAAAAGCAAGAGATTTCTCAGGGAGGCAGGATCCGGGACCCTGGAAGGAAGATAGACAGGACCCAGATGGAACTGTATTGTAATTCCATCATCCATCAATCATCATTCATTCATCATCCATCTATCTACTCATCGACCCATCCATCCCTTCATCCAAACCTTCATTTAATCATTCATTCAATGAACATTTGTTGATGTGTGCTACATGCCATGGACTGGGCTAGGCACTTGAGAGAAAATGGAGATCCAGTATAGACATGAGCCTTGATTTCAGTAAAGGCTAAGGAGAGGTATAGAGTTACCAAGAGACCATCTCATCAGGATAGGAGCTACTTAGGAATAGGAATTAGGCTGAGGGGAGAACATGCGGGCAGTGTACATGACTTCTGAGAAAGGCTGCCACTCCTCATCCCTCCCAAATCCTCTCCCATTGGCAGACCAAAGGCTCTAGTTCTTCTAGCAGAAGTCAGTGCCGCTGGGCATTGACTTCAAGTGAAACACATCCTGTGACCTGGAAACAGTGACTTGGTCTAAGTGGTAAACAAAAGTCATTAGTCCTTTCCTGGGAACAGCCTTTATGAGTGGGCAGACGGCATTTGACACCTGAAGGTGGGAGCTTGTGGGAAGAAGTCACCTCTCGAATGTGGATGTGTCCCCAGGATGATGTACTTGCTCTGCACGGTGCTGGGGGTGGACTCTGAGAGTCTGAGGGAAGAGGCCGTGCCTCCTTGCCAGCCTGCTCTTCCAGGTGTCAGCTGGCAGGCCCCACAAGCTGCTCCTTCCCTCTCTGGAGCCTCAGTCCTTCCATAAACTTTGGAGACCGGGTAGTTCTCGAAGCCCCACGCCTCCCTCCTCCCTCTCCCTGGCATTGGTCACAAATTCTAAGCAGCCCTTGAGTTTCATGCCTTGATAGCCTGGTAATTGTTATTGGAACTTGCCTAGGATGGATTTACGGTAATGAATTCACCTAATAGCAAACCCGTCACAGGCCTCTTTGCAGACAGGATCTTTCCCAAGTGAAGATATTAGAAAACCATTCTGCAAAGGAAAAGCAATACTGACTGGTGACTTCAAGTTTAGGAAAAAACACCACTGTTTGAGTTTTTCTGTTGGCCTCTAACTTTAAACACTTCATTGGCCAGTTGCTAACCAATACAGTTTTTGGCCAAGATCCTGTTTATATTGGCACCAAATGTGTGTATCACAAGCAGTTTGTGTGTTTTGGGGCATATGTGTATGTGTGTGTGAATCTGTATATGTTACAAACTCCAAAACTTTTGAGTACAAGGTCTTGTGCTCTGCTTTTTGCAGATTGTTCTGTCTGTAGACTGAACTAGCAGGCAGAGCATCCGTGTGCATGAATGACTTGTTGTCAGTCACCCTTCCCCATCACAGCCACCCTCTGGCTTGGCCTGACCTGGCATGTAGCTCTCTGGCTTCCCTGGCCCCCTGTCCTACTGAGTAATGAATGAGTGAGATGGCCTCTGCCCAGTGAAAGGGGCTCCGGGGACAGTGGGTGCTTTTTGTGTCACCTCAGTCTGCAGGACCAGAAGGCAAATCATCAGGAATGCTTGGGATGAGGAGGAATTTGCTCCTAGCTTGAGCCAGGAAGGCTCCATGTTTCTGTGGCTTGGCATTAAGCAAACAGCTGCTTTTTTGTTCTCTCCTCAAATTATTTGTCCAAACAAAAGGCAACTGTCATGGGGAGAAGAGTACAATTTTTCCAGCGCTTGCCCCTCTGTGTGCCTCTTCTCACAGCATGCTCTCTGACTGTGTGCATTTCCACAGTTCAGTGTCAAGTTTCCAGCTGACAGCAAGGCAGGGTCTGCCGCCCTGCAACGTGAAAGCCTCTCTGAAGCCTTCTGACCCAGCGCAACATCAGAGCTAAAGGCCAATTTCCCAGGATGGCACCTTCCCTGTCCAAAATCCCCAAGGATTTCCTAAGTCTGTAAATCATGAACTGAGAAACATTCCCTTGGAGACTGAAAGTTTGGGAAATCCGTGAATCCTAGAGGAAAGAAGATGCTCCCTCAAACTCCCATTTCTTTAGAAAGTTTTGTAGTTGGTTCTTCTGCCTGGCAAAGAATTGTTATTTAATTGGGAGTCATCCTTTAGAAAAGACCTGGGTTATTAGTTTGCATATCTTTAGAATATGGTAAAATATGCTAAACAATGCAACTAAATGATATAGAATTTAATCTTCCTCTGAGGCTTATTGGGATTAGGCCATGTCCTTATCTGCCCAGCACACTCATGACTTTTCTTTAAGACTTGGGGCAAATGTCATCTTTCTAGTGGGGACCTCCCCTGTCACCTGACCCAGAACTGCCCTCACCTACCCTGCAGAATTAGGGCAGCCTTGTCCAAGCTCCTATAACTCTACTAGTACTGGCACGTCACAATGTTTACACTTTCTGTTCTGAAATAATTTCAGACTTATAGAAAAAATTGCAAGAAGAGGATAAAGATTTCCTATATACCAACATTTCTCAACCTTTTTCTCATTATTGCCCCCTTCCCCCTAACCCTTTCTAGATTTTTTTTCCTAATTACCTTCTGCCATGAAATTTTAATACCATAGATTTGCTGTAAATATGCTTGTGAACTCTCTGTATGTCTGAGCTTTACATGGAAAAAGAGTGAGTTTTGTTGCCCCCAAGAACAATTTCCATTCTTGTGAACACAGTATTGCCTCCTGGAGTATGTATGCTGTATATCCTTTACCTAGATTCCCCACATGCTAGTATTTTCTTGTATTTGCCTTATTGTTCTTTCTCTAAATATGTATTGTTGTTTAGTCGCTAAATTGTGTCCAGTTCTTTTGTGACCCCATGGGCTGTCCATGTGCCCAGGCAAGACTAGTGAAGTGGACTGCCATTTACTTCTCTGGGGGATCTTCCTGACCTAGGAATCAAAGCTGTGGGTTTGCATCTCCTGCATTGCAGCTGGGTTCTTTACTGCTGAGCCACTGGGGAAACCCCTAAATATGTGTGCATACACACACACACACATATATATACATAGAAATATACACATTTATTTATATATATATATACAGTATATATTTTTTCTGAATTGTTTAACAGTAAATTGAAGACATGATGCCAAATAATTTAGAAAGTGTTCTTGTAAACAAAAACTTTGTCTTTGCATTTTAACAAAAAGAATTTTTTAACATTTCCGTCTTTTCCATATGGCTGTAGGTTTCTCAGGGTCTACAACCTGTTTTTTACTATCTTTGGAGGCTGAGTACCAGGATAGGGCCTAGAATATAGAAGGAGCTACCATAAAATAATACGTTTCATTGGAATATAGCATATGCCGTGCATTTTGATATAATTTCCATATAATTTAATAGATATGATGAAATTGTTTCTCTTAGTATAAAATATATAATGTAAAATATCATGTGCTGTACATAAAAATGCAGAACATTTTTATTTATAAATGAATGGAAATCCCAGGGTCATCAGTATAAACTTAAATCACAAAGTAATCTATAGTTTCAGAAGCTAGAAGAAATTGGACTGAAAATTTTCAGACTTTGGAAGTTGCTTTAAAAATAGCAAATAGCAAACTAAGAGACTATTCACCTGATCTCAGTGTCATAGAAAATTACTTGGAGTTGTCTGAGCATGGCACTTGCCACCTGGTCTCAGCATTTGTGTTACTCTTTGGGAGACAGTGTAATACAGTAATTCAAACACTGTCCTGTCTTCTTGCATTCACTCATAAAGATTTATTGACAACCTTCCATTGACAAACAGATATCAGAGGATCCTGAATTTTCTTTTTCATTTTCTATGTACTGAAAAGTTGCCTAACCTATATTTGCCTTGATTTCTTTGACTGCAACATGGATATCAATATATTGTGTCCTGGGGGTCTGCACATTGCTTAATGTGATATAGGATATGCTGGGGACTGATTTTTTCATGGATTTTAGAATGAAAAATGTAGAACAAAATTCCAGGGACTAAGATGACTCAAATAAGACTTATTCCAAGAATTTGGCATCATAGGTGTGAATACACTTGGTATGAATAGATAGCCATCCCACAAAATATGTAGCTGATGTACAGAACATGTAAAATATTTATGTTAGGTTAATTTATTTTAAAATAAATTATTTTGTTGAATTAAACTTTACCAATGAAACATTGACAACCCTAAGCATAAATGAGAAAAAAAAGTAAGTATTTGCTGTTGTGACCACTATTTAAAGATTTTTCTTGACTTTCTTGAAGATTGCCAAACCCTTCTGTTTCCTTGTGTTTCGTCCAAGTCTATGCAGTCTGCTCACCAGATTACCTCAAATATCATCTGAGAGTCCTGAACTTGGGGGGAAAAGCTTGGGCTGGGGGAGCTGAGAATAAGCTGTGATGTTTAATGGTTAGAGAGTAAGACTATATCAAAAGCTAATTTTGTTGAAATCACAGTATTCACAATTGATGTTTCCATACTTTGTGCCTTTCATTTCCTCCACAGCAAATGGATAAGTGAAGCTATTCACATCTTCCAAACTCTGAGACAAGACATCCTGGGACAAATCACTGTGAGGACTGCAGCCAGTTATGGCAGAAGGTCCCGTATCACTGAATCTGGAGCTGGAGGGGTCCAGGTGAGTAATATCTCATCCTGTAATGTTGTAGACAAAGTTAAGTCCCTGTGGATGGAGGTGACTTGGTTATGGTCACAGAACAAGTTACTGGCAGAACTAAGACTAAAGTCCAGGTTTAGCCCCAAGTCTTGGCACTAGGATACTTTCTTTTTTTAAGTGCCCTCCTTGGAAAATTTAAAGGTTAGTAGATGAGAATATGTTTTGTTTCCACTTCTTCAAAAGAAACATTCTGAATAAATTTAAATATCTTATGCACCATTACTTGAGATGATCAAAGGGTCCGATTAGATATCATACTAAACTCATGAGACTAAGAAACAGAATCAGTATTCTCATCCATTTTTAATTTCCCCATTTTGCAGATGAGAAAAATAGGGTCTAGTTGCACTATTTTTGGCACTGTGAACTTTCCTTGCAGATCTAGCAGAGTTTGGATGAGAATTTTTATCCTAACTCAGTTATCTGTGGCATTTCTACTAGATTTCACTCTTCCTTAGTGGTGAGGCTAGGTATTTTGGACAAGTGAAGTTTGAGTTCACTTCTTTCTCATGTTTCCTTGTGAGTATCTTTTCTTTAAGCCTCAAGGTAACCTATTAGGGTGTATATTGGAACTCTTTTCTTCCCCATGACTAGGCTTTTCCCTCTCTTACTAATAGTGTGCTGCATGCACTAGACTGCCCTGTCTTTTGAAACATATCCATCCTCTGTCTGACTCCCTTACAGTCCCATTCGTCTGCTTTTGGGCACAGTGGGTCCCAATAGGTTTATCATAAAAGTAATCTATACCAATGAATAAAATAGGCAATGTGTTAGTCTATTCATATAGCTTGATGCCATAACTAATTAAATGTGTATATAGTGTAAACAATTCCCTCCCTTGTGGTAAACTAAACTATTTTTGAAATTTTAAGTCCCTTTCTTTAGAAAATTATATTTGCAGCAAAAAGGATAAGATACAAAGTGACTGGTGAAAAACTGAGAACGTTCTTACATTTTGCAGGAGACACCAGCAGTCATGTTGCTGGAGATACTGATCAGCCAGAGAATACGCGTCTGTGAACTGGGTAAATCCAGGGGCAGGACTGGAGGCAGGTTTACCTGAAGTAAGCAACAATGTCTGGTGGAATGAGGAGCCTAACATTCTAGGTGACAATTTTTACATCCAATTCACTGGAAATATAGTTGAGTTTCTTGGTAGGAAAATTAATTTTTTTAGCACTAGGGCCTCTGAACCAGCAGAGTTCCAAGAATGATAAGTAAACATTTAAAAAGTCCAGCATTGGATGAAATACTAAGGGTTCCTTTCCTATTTCTACACTTTGGTTGATGGAATTATGTTTTCCAACTGTGGAATAAACACTATATATTGGTCACTGGTTCACAGCGTATGTCACATCCTATCGTTCAGTTGTGTCTGACTCTGTGACCCCATGGACTGCAGCAAGCCAGGCCTCCCTGTCCTTCACTGTGTTGCATTCTACAGAACTCAGTCCAAACTTGGAATATGGTATCTTCCATTTGCAGCTGAAACTGAGTGTCTAAGTCCCTTTTACCATTCTGTGAGACTGGCTACTTCTGGGTGTTGGGATACATAGTAACACAATGGATGCCATCAGCTCAGTCTGTTGCCTCACTTTTTTTGGTTGAAAATTAAGCAAGACACAGAAAGAAAACAATTAAATAAAATGTGATCCCTGAACTTCATCAAAGTTCAAAGCTTCTACTCTTTGAGAAGCTATTAAGAAAATGAGCTAAGTCACAGATTAGGAGAAAGTATTCATATTTATATATCTGACGAATGACTTGTTTACAAATATATAGAGGACTTTAACAACTCAATAAGAAAATCAATTAACAAGGGGCAAAATTTGAACAGAGACTTCACAAAAGATATAAAAATATCTAATAAACCCATCTCAACATCATTAGACATCAGGGAATGAAAATTAAAACTACAATTAAATAGTTCATCGCAGCACTGTTTATAATAGCCAGGACATGGAAGCAACCTAGATGCCCATCAGCAGACAAATGGATAAGGAAGCTATGGTACATATATACACCATGGAATATTACTCAGCCATTAAAAAGAATTCATTTGAATCAGTTCTAATGAGATGGATAAAACTGGAGCCCATTATACAGAGTGAAGTAAGCCAGAAAGATAAAGACCAATACAGTATACTAACGCATATATATGGAATTTAAAAAGATGGTAACGATAACCCTATATGCAAAACAGAAAAAGAGACACAGATGTACAAAACAGACTTTTAGACTCTGTGGGAGAAGGCGAGGGTGGGATGTTTTGAGAGAACAGCATCAAAACATGTATATTATCAAGGGTGAAACAGATCACCACCCCAGGTTGGATGCATGAGACAAGTGCTCGGGCCTGGTGCACTGGGAAGACCCAGAGGGATGGGATGGGAAGGGAGGTGGGAGGGGGGATTGGGATGGGGAACACGTGTAAATCCATGGCTGATTCATGTCAATGTATGGCAAAAACTACAATATGGTAAAGTAATTAGCCTGCAACCAATAAAAATAAATGGAAAATAAAATAAAAATAAATAAATTAAATAGTGCTAAACTACACCTACTAGAATAGCTAAAATTTAAAACATTGACAGTACTAGATACTGGAGAGGATGGGCAGCAGCTGGAACTCTCCTATATTTTGATGAGATTGTAAGATGGTATTTTGAAAAATAGTTTATTGGTTTCTTTCAGATTTAAATATGCACTCACCATATGCCCTCAAAATTCTACTCCTTCAGTGTCTACCCAAGAGAAACAAAAATATATGTCCAAACAAATACTCTACAAGAATATTTATAACAGCTTTATTCATGAGAACTATAACCTGGAAACAACCCAAAAGTTTATTAATGGACAAAAAAATTGTGGTGTGTCCATACAATGTGTTATTTCTCATTAATAAAAAGGAGCAAATTGCTAATATTACTAATACATGTGACAGAATGGAGCAGTCTCAAAAATATTACACTGAATGAAAAAGATCCCAATACAAAAGAGTTATACTGCTCGATTCCATTTATATAAGACTCCAGAAAAGATAAATCAAGTATATAATGACAGAATTAGTGGTTGCCTGGGGCTAGGTTCAGGGACTGGAGTAGGGATTGGTGTGAGGGGGCATAGGAAGCATTCTGGTTGGAAGAAAATGTTCCTTGTCTTGATTGTGCTATGGTTTCTCAGGCATAAAAATTATCAAAAGTCATTGAAATGTGCACTAAAATGGGCTTGTTTTATTGTATTGTACTTACTTCAGTACAATAAAACAGATGGAGAAGCTCTATATCATCAGCAGGAACAAGAGCTGGAGCTAACTGTGGCTCAGATCATCAGCTCCTTATTGAAAAATTTAGGTTTAAATTGAAGAAAGTAAGGAAAACCACTAGGCCATTCAGGTATGACTTTAATCAAATCCCTTATGATTATACAGTGGAGGTGACAAATAGATTTAGGGGATTAGATCTGGAAGATAGAGTGCCTGAAGAACTGTGAATGGAGGTTTGTAACATTATGGTACAGGAGGCAGTGATCAAAACCATTCCAAAGAGAAAGAAATGTAAGAAGGCAAAGTGGTAGTCTGAGGAGGCTTTACAAATAGCTGAAAAAAGAAGAGAAGTGAAAGTCAAGGGAGAAAGGGAAAGATATACTCATCTGAATGCAGAGTTCCAGAGAGTAGCAAGGAGAGATAAGAAGGTCTTAAATGAACAGTGCAAATTGAAGAAAACAGTAGAAATGGAAAGACTAGAGATCTCTTCAAGAAAATTAGAGATATCAAGGGAACATTTCATGAGAAGATGGGCACAATAAAGGACAGAAATGGTAAGGACATGACAGAGGCAGAAGAGATTAAGAAGAGGTGGCAAGAATACAAAGGACTATACAAGAAATGTCTTAATCACCTTGATAACCATGATGGTGTGGTCCCTCACCTAGAGCTAGACATCCTGGAGTGTGAAGTCAAGTGGGCCTGAAGAAGCATCACTATAAACAAAGATAGTGGAGGTGATGGAATTCCAGCTGAACTAATTAAAATCCTTAAAGACGATGCTGTTAAAGTGCTGCACTCAGTATTTTAGCAAATTTGGAAAACTCAGCAGTGGGTACAGGACTGGAAAAGGTCTGTTTTCATTCCAAATCCGAAGAAAGGCAATGCCAAAGAATGCTCAAGCTACTGCACAATTGCATTCATTTCACATGCTAGTAAGGTTATGCTCAAAATCCTTCAAGCCAGGCTTTAGCAATACCTGAACCAAGAACGTCCAGATGTACAAGCTGGGTTTAGAAAAGGCAGAGGAACCAGAGATCAAATTGCCAACATTTGTTGGATCATAGAAAAGGCAAGAGAATTCCAGAAAAACATCTACTTTTCCTTCATTGACTATGCTAAAGCCTCTGACTGTGTGGATCACAACAGACTGTGGAAAATTCTTCAAGAGATGGAAATACCATACCACCTTACCTGTCTCCTGAGAAACCTGTATGCAAGTCAAGAAGCAACGGTTGAAACTGGACATGGAATAACCGACTGGTTCAAAATTGGTAAAGGAGTACAACAAGGCTGTATATTGTCACCCTGTTTATTTAACTTATATGCACAGTGCATCATGGAAAATCCAGGGCTGGATAAATCACAAACTGGAATCAAGATTGACTGAAGAAACATCAAAAAAACCTCTCAGATATGTAGATAATACCACTCTAATGGCAGAAAGTCTCTTGATGACCGTAAAAGAGAAGAGTGAAAAAGCTGACTTAAAACTCAACATTAAAAAAACTAAGATGATGGCATCTGGTCCCATCACTTCATGGCAAATAGCTGGGGGAAAAAGTGGAAGCAGTCACAGATTTTATTTTCTTGGGCTCCAAAATCACTGCAAATGGTGAGTGCAGCCATGATTAAAAGACACTTGCTCCTTTGAAGGAAAGCTATGATAAACCTAGACAGTGTATTAAAAAGCAGAGACATCACTTTGCCAGCACACGTGTGGATAGTCGAAACTATAGTTCTTCCAATAGTCATGTACAAATGTGAGAATTGGGTCATAAAGAAGGCTGAGTGCCGAAAAATTGATGCTTTTGAATTGTGGTGCTGGAGAAGACTCCTGAGAGTCCCTTGGACTGCAAGGAGATCAAACCAATCAATATAAAGGAAATAAACCCTGAATATTCATTGGAAACACATTTGATGCTGAAGCTAAAGCTCCAGTAGTTTGGACACCTGATGAGGAGAGCTGACTCACTGGAAAAGCCTCTGATGGTGGGAAAGATTGAAGGCAAAAGGAGAAGAGGGCGTCAGAAAATGTGGTGGTTAGATAGCATCACTGAATCAATGGACATGAATCTGAGCAAACTCTGGGAGTTAATGAAGGACTCGGAGCCTAGAGTGCTACAGTAAATTAGATCACAGAGAGTTGGATTCAACTTAGTGACTGAACAACAACTTATACCTCAGGAAACTTGTTTTTTATAAATAGTGTATGCTTATATGATATTGGATATAATCACCTTGTGATTCTGTCAGGTTGAACTCTTCATTGTGAATCATCTTTCAGGGATTGACATGGATTCCAATGAGCATCCTAACCTAAACACTTCAAGCTCCATTAGACTCATTAGTCAGAAGACCTGCTGGCAGAATAACTTGTGTTGTGGCCTGAATCATCTTCTCCAGCCTTGGACTCCACTCAAGACTTAATAACCTTATGCCTTACTCAGCAACATGGTCAGAGGAGGACATCCATATGTGGTATGTATTGAACCAACAAAGGCCAATAAAAGTGTTGCTCATTCTTAGTGGTGATATATGTATGATACAGCAGTATTTCTTTCATCTTGGAGGAACTATTCTAGTATTACAGAAACATGAGCTTCTAGAAATGCCTCTGAGATCCATGAATTTACAGTGGATGTATCTCCCCACTTGTGACACATGTGTGCTTTACCGAAATATCTCATCCTGTCTGCTTACCTGGTTGATTAGCCTGGTGTCAGCTAAACTGTGGTCCTGCAGAACATTCCATGGAATAACAAGAGGATCAGCAATCTTTCCTGATCTAAGTTATGGCACAAAGCAGAGTCCCGAGGCCAGGGTGGTGAATATGTATTATTATTCCTGTCAGATAAAAACAAATGTCTTCTGATAGAGCGTATACATTCACCAGGTCAGCGGGATTAGATAACTAATTTGGTGACTTGGCAACAAGCTCTTCTGCTGTCCTAGCTATTACTCATGCCAGTCGTGGGAATTATGAGTCAGATGAGAGAGAACCATTTATATGAGGTCAGTGGGGGAGATATTTTGGAAATATTACTTTTCCTCCTACCATATCTCTTTATAAACTGTGACAGCCCCACTGTGTGATCTGGCCATTGATACTATGATAGCTTAGATTTGCAGGGAACTTTAGAACTTATAAAGAAATAGCTTACAAATATATTTATTCACATTTTCTTCACAGTAGGTCTATGGAACAGATAGAGCAGATATTATTTTCTTTTTTTTAAAAAAATATTTATTTGGCTGCACTGGGTCTTAGTTGCAGCATGCAAGATCTTCTTGTTCCATGACCAGGGATTGTACCTGGGCCCCCTGCATTGGGAGTGCAGAGTCTTAGCCACTAGACTACCAGGGAAGTCCCAGGGCAGATGTTATTTTCGAATTTGGAATGACTGATACATGACAATGTCAGAATTTGAGTGTAGATCTCTCTGATTCCACAACTGAGCTGCCACCATGCCCCTTAAAGCAATGCCATTCCTAATATGTGGGTTAGTTAAATTCAGCTGAACATACTTAATGGTGAGAAATGTTATCTACACAGCACTTGGTACAAGATAGAAGAGTCACTTGTTGTTGTTTAGCCTCTAAGTCTTGTCTGACTCTTGACAACCCCGTGGACTGTAGCCTGCCAGGCTCCTCTGCCGATGGGATTTCCCAGGCCATAATACTGGAGCAGGTTGCCACGCCCTCCTGTAGGGGATCTTCCCAACCCAGGGATGGAACCAGTGTCTCCTGCGGATCCTTTACCGCTGAGCCACCGGGGAAGCTCACTAAGTGGCGGCTCCTGCCAAGACTGACATACGTACATTTAGGATGTGCCAAGGCTGGGAATACAGATGAGGTCCTTCCCTTGAGAAGCGTGGTGTGGGAGGATAAAGCAGAACTCGCTGAGGCATCTGCTTCCAAGATTGCCTCAAAAAGCCAGCGGCCCTGATTAAAAAAAGAAAAAAAAAAAAAAAGATTACCATTTGAATTCTGTTTAGGCCAGGCAAATTAAGGCTGGTGGTGGAATGCCCAGGGTTCTTTATGGATCAGAGTTCTGTCCCTTCTCTGATGTGCAGGTAGGGCCCTCCCAACCCCAGTGATTTGCTCTGAAAGCGACACCCACAGAGCAGGTTGCTTGGAGAGAGGAATGCAGTGATCACTGTAAACATTCCATTTTTCAGTTTAGCCAATGATCATTGCCTTATTTCATGGATCTAATGTGACTTATTGAGGTATAAAAATCAGCTGGAACACCTTAGGGAAGAACACCCTGGAATGAGCTTCCTGTCTCTCTGGGGTCACCCAGGAAACGTCCACATTCATATCACTTCTCAGCGTTCACAGGACGGAAGAGTCAGATGGGTTGAGGGTAGCAGAGGAGGCCTGCAGAGAGGCAGAGTGAAATTGCTTACGCGGTCCAGAGAGGGAAGAGGCTGACCTGGGCATTAGAGAGGTTTCTCTGACACCCAGGGGCTCCAGAGGTGCCCTGGTGCCACCAAGGGCTTTTCCCAAGGGAGGACAAGAAGAATTCCGAGTGGCTGCTCAGGGTCTGCATGGCGCTGAGAGTGGCCTGGTTTGGTTGGATTTCTCTTGTTTTTGTTTTTCTGTTTTTCAGAAACGGTCACCAAATTCCCATCATTCTTTGTATGCAACACCCATTAAACCTAAGCGATTTTCCAAGACAAAGAAAACATCATGTCTGGGAACACGTGCCAATAAGAAGTACATGACCTTCTCTTGCTGGGGCACTGGTATTTTTAAAGCAACAAATGCTTGATATTGAATATCCCATCAAGGCTCCCTTCTGAGCAGATCCAACAATTGTCCTGGGGAAGAAACAATCTGAGAAATGCCCCCAAACCATTATGGGGTGCCCACAAAAACAGCTCATCAAATTCTTCTCCCTAATCAGGAAGGCAGGGGGTAGTGTGTGTGTCTGTGTGTGTGTGCGTGTGTGATAGAGAGAGGTGCTTGGCATGGTGCTTGAGACCCATTGTTGTCCCCTTATCAACCTTTTGCTTACCCCTGTAAAAACACAACACAACTTCTGTCCGAGAACATTTTCCAAGCAGAGGTCTCTGCCTCAAGGCAAATGCATCAACTCTTCTGGGCCCTGCACAGGCCTTCTGGAAGCTGAGCGCCCTCACTTGGCTAAGTAAATATCAAAGTGCTGGGGCTTGTGAGCAGGTGGAACTGAGCCCGGTGGGCCTGAGCCCCAGCCATGGCCTTTCTGATCCTTTGTTTTTCAGCAGCAAGTGGAGGCGAAGGCAAAGGTGGAGGGAAAGGAAATGTGATCTCCAGTGAGTTGCAGTGTTTTGCTTTCTCTAATCCTATTCAGGTGGTGACTGTAGCAAAAAGGAAAAACAGGCCAATATATAGGATGCAGAAAAACCCTGATTATTAACCCGATGAATGTGCATTGGCGGAATTGAATTCAGGTCGCAGTGATTCATTATTAATGGGTCCCAAGTTCTGACCCAGGGTGGAGGTGGGGCTCTTGTGAAGGTGGAGATGGTGGCTGAGGGAGGGTCTCTGCCCTGGAGAGGAACTGGGCCTGGAGCAAGCGGTCCCTGAGCCTGGCCCAGACCACAGCTGGCCCAGGACCGCCCTTCTTCCAGGACTGCCTACTGCACACCTGCAACTCAGCTTCTCTTGTCTCAGAGCTGTGCTGTCGGTGATTTATTCCACCCTGGAGCCTCCCAGAGGCCAGGCCCGGGGAGAGACTGTGCAGAGAGTGTGTAGGGGGACTGTGCTCCATCTCCACCATTCCCCAGCGAGGACTCCCCAGTGAGGAGGATGGAAAACACTGTCTTGCATGAATAATACACCTTCCTCTTTTTGAAGAGCTCAGAGCACCTAGCAGACAGGATGCTCTTCACCCTCAACCACTCCCTGAGGCTAAATCAGGTTTTGATTTACCCCTCCCTGCCTTTTTTTTTCTTAAATAGATGAGGAAATGACAGCACAGAGCAATTGGTCCCTGGGAGTGAGTTGTGTTGGGGTAACAGGAAGCAGACCAGGAAGAGCTGATTTGGTAAGAGTCCTTTATAGAGGCAGAAATTCTCTCAGCTAACCCTATGCTCAGTCAGCACAGACACACGAAAGGGATCCCAATCATTTAAAAAGCTCCGGTCTACGTAATAGTTTACCCCAGATGCTGGTCAATGCACAGGGCTTTTTTGTCTGTTTTAACTCACAGGAGGGTTCCCTTCTAAAAGGACACTTCTAGGTCACATAGGAATAAAATTGAAACCACACCTAAGAATTGGAAAGGCCACAAAGAGAACTGTGTATTCAAACTTCAGTCCTGTTGAGCTCAGGAAATGAAGGCAAAAATTCCCTGTCCCCAAATTTTTCTGCCAAATGAATGGAACAAGAAGGGAGACCCAGGAGTTTCTCTGAGGTAGACTCCCTGTTAGGTAGTGGTGACTAACCTCTAATTCTCTTTGGCCTTTATTGTTGTGCAAATTCTTACTAACCTTGTAGCTGCCCCCAATTGACTCAGTGGTAAAGAATCTGCCTGCCAAGTAGGAGATGTGTGTTCAGTTTCTGGGTCGGGAGGACCCCCTGGAAAAGGAAATGGCAACCTACTCCAGTATTCTTGCCTAGAGAAAGCCATGGACAGAGGAGCCTGGCGGGCTACAGTCCATACGGTCACAAAGAGTTGGACACAACTGAGCAACTAAACAACAAGTCTTTCCTTCACCATGCTACAGCAAAAATGATCTTTTACAAAACCAAACTCTTGTCATGTCATTCCTGGACTTAAAGCACTCTGTGGCATCCCATAGTCTTCAAAATAAAATTCAAACTCCTTAGCGTAGCATGAAAGACCCCTATCTGTCCCACCAGATGCTGGAAACAGCCTGCTACTTTCTATACTTGAGCTTATTAATTCATTCAAGACATTAGACTGTCATTGACTGGATGTTGGATGTGTTAGTCTCTCAGTCATCTCTGATCCTGTGACCCTGTGGACTGTAGCCCACCAGGCTCCTCTGTCCATAGGATTCTCCAGCAAGAATACTAGAATGGGTTGCCATTCCCTTCCTTAGGGTATCTTCCCAACCCAGGGATCGAACCCAGGTCTCCTGCATTGCAGGCAGATTCTTTGATTAAGGACTCAATATTTTTCAGTAGGTTTGCCAGGCACTGGAAATGTCCTACTACACCTGGTAGAGCCTAGAACATGATCTGACCAAGACTCAAGGAATCCACCCCTAGCCCCAGAACTTACTTCTCTCTCTGCCCATAACTCCCTCCTCTTCCACCAGCTCGGTTTTTAGCTTCATGAATTTTCTTCATTTCTCCCAAATGCCTCTGTTGAGTTTTCTGATAGCCCATGGTGCTGTAATTGGGTACTTATCTGTTTTCCCCCTTTGTGTATGAGATTTTTGAGGACAGGAACTTTGTCTTGTTCATAGCACCTCACATGGGGCCTAGCTCATGGTAGGTGACTCTAGGGGTCATGGTTCCACAGCCACACTGGTTCTGGCCAATGTAGGGTGCTGTCGGGGCCCTGGAAGAGAAACCTCTAAACACAGTGTCCTTGTTTTCTCCCCGGTGTCACATCTAGACGTGATGCCTGGCACTGCTGCAGCTGTCTTGTGTCCAAGTGGCACTCACTTTAGAAAGAAGCCAGTAATGAGGGCAGCAGGGCAGAGAGTTGCACGTAACCTCAGCCTGGGACCCTCCTGCATCTGGACCTGAAGTTATGTAAATAGCAAATTCCTCATGGTTTAAGCCATCTGATTCAAGGTCTTTTCTTTCCTTCTCCTTTTTCTTTTCCCTCCTTCGTGTTCTTTTTCTTTTAGCTTTTGTTTTTTGCTGCCCACGTCTTTCTAACTGGTTCGTGACTCAGTAGCTGTCTTCGGTCGGGCTGGCAGTAGAGGGCCTGGCCGCCGAGCCCAGCTGACAGCATCCGCAATTAATTGTATTTATTTAAAGGTCTTATTTGCCCTACTAAACCATAGATTCTTCTGAGGGGAGGAAGTGATTTTGTCTCCTATTGTCCTATTATTCTCTTCTTTGAAGGATCTACCTAATGCCTATTACGTAATACAGAGTTCCAAAAATATTGAGTCAAACTGAATTGAACTGGCATCTTCAAATACTTTTTCTCCTTTTTCTCAACCCTCAATATATCGCTTATCTTTATACCACATAATGTAGTATTTTGTGCTATACGGTGGTTCTTACATTGATTCTCATTGAAAGTCTTGCACTCCCCATGAAGATGTTAAGGTTCTGGAGAATAGCATCTGAGTCTCATCTCGTTATTTCTTTGATATCCCTTGTGGTTCACATTTGTAGGGCTCATAGAGGCGTCTAACAACTTCCTGATGAACTAATGCTCTGAAACCTTGCAAACGCTACCTCCTACCAAGATTTTCAGTTATGCGCTCTTCCATGTTTGTCTCGGTTCCTTGATGGCAAAAGTTGTCGCCATTTTTGCTGGACACCCTATAGACATAGAGTACCTTCTCTTCTTTCCCATGTGCATAGAGGTGACATCAAATAAAGCCTTTGTGACTAATGGAGGAGAATGTTCAAGTATTGTCTCCCCACAGATCACAATTCCACAAAGCGATTTTGGTGAACTTAAACCTCCCAAGGACTTTTGTGGTGGAGGTGGAACTAACATTCAGAATATTGTTTGGGATGGAGGGCTGTTTTTGGAAGTGACACCACACACTGATCACCTTGCTTAGCCTTTAGGCCTGCTTTACTATTAACTGTAGGTAGTTACAGAGCCTAGTTTTCTTTCTCATCTCCAAGACATTTCTATTTTTGAAGCTCTACTTCTTAGGTGTGTCCCTCTGGATTTCTAAAGAAGTCTATAGTCACAATTACTGCTTGTTGAAAGGATACTTGGCACCCTGTTTTCTATCCCTTAGAAGGTCCTCTGACAAGATGCTCCAATTGCCTGTTTTTC